CCTTCCTTTCTCTCTCTCTGTCTCTCTCTGTCTCTGTCTCTCTCTGTCTCTCTCTGTCTCTCTCTCTCTCTCTCTCTCTCTCTCCCCGCCCCCTTTCTGCTCCCTTCCATTCCTTCTTTTCTCCTTTCATGAAGGCTCTCTCAATATAAAACTCAAATGAAAAGCAAAGCATGCTTACTGTGGATGAAATGCAAAGAACACTTGATGCATTGGAACATGCACTGAGTCCTGGCTCCACTTTGTTTCCATATCTGCAAAGATGAACACCACTTTACAAATAAGGAAATGTGTAGAGATCAACTTGCTCAAGACTGTAGGGTTAGCATACGACAGAGTCAGGATTTGAAGCCACGTGTACCTGCTTCTAAAATCCTAGTACTTCCATCCTAAGCTCTGGTGAATACCAGTGACAAGGTATGAGCTAGAATGTGAATGCAGAGAGAGCAGGAATTCACTTGTTTTTATCTCCTACAACAAGGGTCCCCAATCTCCAGGCCATGCACAGGTACAGGTCCTTGGCCTGTTAGGAACCGGGCCGCACAGCAGGAGGTGAGCGGTGGGGAAGGAGTGAGCCAAGCGTCATCTGTATTTGCAGCCACTCCCCAGCGCTAGCATTACTGCCTCAGCTCCACCTCAGATCATCAGGCATTAGACTCTCATAGGAGCGCTGGTCCCTGGTGCCAAAAAGGTTGGAGACCACTGGTTTAGAGCATAGAAAGAAGTGAGAATAAATGTGCGAGTATTGAAAACAACTTAAGGACCCCACTTTATTAGCTCTAGCGCAGAAAAGAATATTTTAAACGAACTATTTATCTAGAGATGACTTGAGGCTTTTATATGTCAATATTACTTTTATCTGAAAAAAAAATTAAATTATTGATTAGAAAATATTTTAAATAGTTTAAATAAGTACATCTGAAGGAGGCAGCTTTAAAGTGTTTTGTAACTTGGGCTGGTTTTACACCACGCCGCCCCCCCCCCCCACCAGGTGTCATTGGCAATGTCTGGAGACGTCTCCAGTTGGCACAGCTGGAGGCATGCTAACGGCATCAGTGAGGATGCCGCAGCAGCCCTGCCTAAGTATTAAGCATCCCAAAATCTCAAGAGTGTTGAAGCTGAGAGGAAAAACGTGCTTGGCATTATATTGTGGAATATTTGATTGGCAGTTTATGTATATAGCACACATTTTATCACAACACACATTGCATTGCTAAAGTTTCATCCTATATAACTGCCAAATGGAACAAAACGTTGGGGCTGGTGGAACATGTTTATATTACCGATAAGACATCAATGCTTAATTCTGTGACCCCAAATCTGATCAAAGAACCAGAAATTTCCCTGAGTAAAGTTTATTTCTCTCTCTCTTTTTTTTTTCTTTCCTTTTTACATGCCTCTTTACATGTCTCTTTCACATCTGAAGAAAGAGATAATGGAGCTTCAGTTTCTGGGAAGGTCCTATGAATTAAATATACATTTCTGAAGCACTACAGAACAATATTGCATAATACAGAGTTCATTTTTTAATAACACATCTCTAGTTAGAGAAAGTCAGGTGGTTGAGTTAAGCTAAATATAAATTCTCAAGTAATCCTATTTATGTGCATTCAAGTATTTTTGGCTTAAACAATAAACTTAATAAAAAGCTAGTGAAGACAATTTACATAGGAAAGAATCCTGAAACAGAAAAATTAGAAAACATTTTTCTCAAATCAGCTAAATAATGAGTTATCCCTAAATTTATCTGGGTCTCATTTTCCACATCTACAGAAGAGAGGGGTTAGTGAATTTCTTTCCAATTGTAACTTTCTGTGACCTTAAATCAGAGTGTCGCATCAGTAGGTTTTAAAGGAGCCATATTATACTCCTCGACAAGAAAAGCTAATCCCCTAGAGTTTAGCTCTGTTGGAGATTATTACTACCTTCCCTGTACCCTAAGCCTATCTCCCTAGGAGTCTTTCCTCAAAGTGAATACTAACTTAATAAACATCACTACTGTTGTACTATTTTAGGACCAGAAGGAGTAATAATGATGATGGGATGACAAAGAAGAAGATGATGTCATTGTTTAGTGGTGAACACGGAGGGAGTTGCAGCAGGCTAACAAACCATTTGAATCAAATTGAACTAGGAAACAGAAATTATCAGGTACAGCTGCTAATTTTTTAAAACCCAGAATGCAAATACTGGGTTTTAAAGACTAAATTAAAATATTTGACTCTATTGAAATTTATAACACAATTTTTCTGGAATTTACTATTTTACCAGCAGATGTCAGTGCAACCTAATTAACTAACATTTTCAGCAGATTAAATACCTGCCAGTAACAGAATGAAAATAGTCTTAAAATAGCTAAGTTGAAAACCTGCTGTCTATGTTTCTGAATTAAGTGGAACTATAGAAAAAAATCACTTCTTCAAAAGTTATTAAGTTAAAATGAGCCCTTGCTAAGTAAATCACATTACATAAGTTATAGCATGTGTTAATAGTTGTTATTATCATCATAATTTATGTGACAATGGCATTTTTAGTGACATAAAAGTCATGATCTTAAATTAAGTACAAAATACTAATCTGTGGTAAAGTGTAGGAATAACAGTATTTTTAAAACTCACACATCATAGACACTAGAGCCAAATGAAGCTCATTTGTCTCTGGGTGACATATTTGCATCTCCTGAAGAAAAACATTAATTTCTAATAAATTCTAAAATATCTATAGCATGACACCATTTCTTTTCAAGAATGTAACCTTTTATTTCTAAAAAAAAAATTGTTCGTCTAATGGCAGTAACAATTAATCTAATAGCAGTGCCTGTTACATGGGGAACACTCACTTACATTATCCCATATAATCTTCGTAACAACCTAGCATTCAGAGAGGTTAGGTAATTTGCCTAATAAATAAGGGTACACAGCAAGTCAAAGTGACAGACCGTAGATGATTTAAGACTATATTCTTTTCTTTATGCAATACCCCATTCCTCCAAAAATTCTATTTCATGACCCTGTTTTGAAGAGGCTTCTCATTGTTTTTGTCATACTTGGAGTTAAAGTTATATTTTGTACAAAAGATCTCTCCAACAATGATATGGGATACAACTAGAAAATCAGGATAAAATAAATATGTGCAAAATTACTTTTTAAAAAAAGAAAGCCAGCTTTTTTATAAAGTTAAATATATATTTAACATATAA